CCGCTCTCAGTACATGGTGCTGCTTATGTGGACGACAAGTGGACCCAAGAGACATGCTCCAACACATTTGGAACAATCACTCCAAACAAGGGAATCGTGGTGCCTTGTTTTACAAGTTTCTGTCCTTTTTTCAGAAAAGACAGCAAACATGTTCCATCTGCAGCAACCATCCTACCGCAGTGCAGTGTCCAGTTCTCCTCCAATTGTCCGGCCTCCTTGCAATCCTTCATCATGGACATGGGGGACAACCAGATCTCGGACATGTGGGGAGCTCTGAACCAATGGGTGAAGATGGAGGTGGACGAGGACAAGCAGAGCGCAAAGCGCCCGAGGTCTTCCATGTCGAATGGAGGGAAGGGGCCGGGCAAAGGAAAAGGAAAAAGAGGCCAGGGGAAGATCCTGAACACCAAGGACGAACCCACACAAGATACAAAGACGCTCCTTCAAGCCATGACCCGACTCGTCCTTCGGCACGAAGACACACTCCAATGCCTGGCTATGGAGACGGACTTCTTCGTTTTTTTGAGCGTGGGTCCAGGCTCAGTGGTTCCTCTCATGATGGCCCAGACACAGACCTGGCAGCAGACACCACAGGCGGAGCGGACACATCCACTCAGGATCCTGGTCTTGAAGACCCTCCTGGAGGAATTGCTGAAGAGGATTCAGAAACTTCAATCCACGGGCTCCTCCGAGCCCTTGATCCAGACATTGCAACGCCTGAACTTCTTGCAGCTCGAGCCAGAGAAGCCCGAATCATACATGTTTCCTCGTATGAAGTGGAATTCCAGCAAGCAGGCGATGGAGGCTCAGGAGGACGCTCCTCTGACCTTGACCCAGGCATCCCAGACGGTGACAAGGATGCTCACTCTCCTTCAGCAAGAAGCTCTGGTCAAGAGATTCGGAGCACTACGCCCTCCCCAGCACATCCAGAAGGTAATGACCACGGAGACGGAGACACCTTCCGCCATCATCCCCTGGAGAATCACACTGGCCTTGGTTCATCCTCATGCCAACGAGATGCGGGGCTTGTGGCACCAACTGAGTCACTCTGGGCTTTGGCAACTTGTGTTGGGCAGGATGCGCTCGGCCAGCATCCACCGGACACCACTCGCTCAGCACCTGGGCAAAATGCTGGATCAACTGTGATGGAACCCTCCACTCCTCCTCTTCGGACACTTCAGAATCCAGCTGCAGCATGCTACATGAACTCAGCTGTGACTGGACTAGCCTGGAGTGCCCTTCATGCTGACGGGTTGAAGATGGATCAATGGTCCAACTTCCCTGGGGTACTTGGGGAATTGACAGATGTGTCCAAAGGGCAACCGCTTCTTTTATGGTCAGATGGGCAGTGGACCTCACTCCTAGCCAATTGGTCCAATCCTTTTCGGCAACATGATGTGGTTGACTTTGCTCATCATCTTCTTCAGCAAACCAATCCCTTTTTTCTCAGCTGTTGTTGGGAAAGCCGGCTGGATGAGGAGGGCACCATGAAGGTGGTGGACCACAATGCCCCAGGATGCCCTTTGCATCTTTACATCTGCAGCGAACAAAAGAGCACGCTCCCCATCGATCTGCAAGGATTGGTCTCCACGTGGAGCCTTGCGTCATTCGGGTTACACGCCTTGACCGATCCTTCCGATGTCACATGCTTACACATCGACCGCTTCGACTCGAGGGGGAGGAAAAGCAAGAACCGCCTGACATGGGACTCTAAGGTCTGGCTGCCCTTTTTTCTGGGCGAGAAGCTCGAGGTGGACTACATCCCATTTGTGGTCACCGGAGTCTCCTATCATCTCGGAGATGAAGCAACAAGTGGGCACTATTGCACTGCCATCAAGGACAAGGACTGGTGGTGGATCTTCGACGACTCCAAGGAGCCGGTCAAGTTCTCGGCACTACCGCTGGTGGCTCAAGAAAACAGCTGCCTGCTTTGGCTGAACTGCACTCCGCACGGCGGAGCAGAAGAGGTGTCAAAGATGGCAGATGAATCACCCATCCTGACCGAGGAGGAGAAGATGCACAACATCATCCATGACCCGACTATCAACGACAACTGGCATGGAGCATGGCTTCGCAGCCTCGATCTCCTGGACACCAAGATCCTTGTGGATAATCCCAGCCTCTGCCACCGACTTGTGAAAAAATGCATCACCTGCGGCAGTTGGCCTCGGGACATGAATGGGCACCTGCAAGTGGCACATAGAACCTGGTGGAACGAGGCTGCCCCATTGGAGGAGAAGAGTGCAGTGAGCTTCATTTCACATGCCCACCCAACGCGGTGGTGCGCTTGTCAGCCCTTCTTTGGCACCGGTCTTGAAGAAGACCATGTTTGCCCATGCTTGCGGCAGTTCGCCATTTTGCATTTGCAGTTGAGGTCCCATCAGAAAGAAACAGCCAGAGCATCAACACTCGCTCGGCTGTTGGACCAGACCTTTAGCTGAGGTTCCGGCCCCACGGGGCACCAGATGGACTAACAGGTCCACGCGATCTTCGACTGAAGAGCGTATGAAAGAAAGATGATGATGATGATGATGAT